TGTCAGTCACAGAATGTCTGTCTGGCTTAAACGTTCTACATCTGTGAAGACTGTAAGTACTTTTGTTCAGTATTGTGAAGTCTGCATATCCATGGGTGTCCTGTGCCCTTACCCTCTCTCCCTGGAGTTTTTAATTAGGGTCAATAAACTCCTTTTGTTTTAGTACCCCCAAAGTGACTGGAGCCCATCTGTACACATTTTGGACTATTGCCGAGGACTGCACCCAGAGGTGAGATGCTGGCCCACCCTGTACTTCACCTACCTTTCAGGTGTCGGGGGGGGGGGGGGGGGGGGTGCTACATAACGATTTCCACTGAAAGGACACTTGGGCTGTGTAATGCTTGCTCTGATTGTCTCTAATGTACAGAATGTTGCAGTGTTAGCTCTCTGTTCTTTTTGTTTCTGTAGGAATTGTGTATTTTCCATGTTCCTGCATCTTGTGTAAGTAACATTTTTTTCACACAAAAGGGGCAGACTTTGAAACAGGGTTAAAATAACCACTTATAATCAATGTAAGGGTAGTCTTCTCCACTGACCCCCAATGTAAAGGGACCCTACTCCACTGACTATCAATGTAAGGAGGGACTTCTTCATTGAACACCAATGTAAGGGGCCATTCTCTACTAGTCACCAATGTAAAGGGCCCTTCTAGACTGACCATAAATATAAGTGAGCCCTTCCCCCACTAATCACTAATTTAAGGGGATCCTTTTGCACCAACAACCAATAAAAAGGAGCATTTCTCCATTTCTTAATAAAGTAAGAAAACCTTCCAACCAACCAGATCCCAGGAAGTAAATGCTGCATGAATCATCTGCCATCTCTTAAGATGACCATGGCCAGAAATTCGGGGGGGGGGGGGGGGGGCATTTTTAGTGTGATTTCTCAGCAAAATAAAACATGGCGACATGGATTGGTGGTGGTGTGGGGGGGGGGGTTGCTTTGATGCAGTGTAGTTACGCTTTAAGATCAATAACAGTAGAGAGGTCAATGGTGGAAAGAGGTCAAACGGTAGCCAATCTACTATGCTGGAGAAAAACTTTCCTTACAGCCTCATGTAGCCACTTACCTCTAAATCCTGTACCCTAGGTATCCCAATGCTTTGTTGTGTTTGAGATTTCATTGTAGTATAGATAATGGGAACAAATTGAGTCACTTGAGTTACATTTTTGTTGTTTTTGTAAGATGCTAGAACGGGTGATGAAACAAACCGGACCTCCATTTCAGAAGACGTTTTAGCTTATCTCCGCAGTCCTTGGTTAACTAAATTTGCACCTTTGGTTTATACGGTTGTGTTCCTTATAACGCTGCCTTTGAACATAACAGCAATCGTAGTTAGGCTTTAAGATCAATAACAGTAGAGAGGTCAATGGTGGTCCCATCACCCTCTGCTATAGAGCCAAATGATCCATAGTTAAAATGTGCCCTAATAGAAGTTCTGCCAAAATCTAATGGTAGTCCAACTGACCAGCCCCGATTTTCAGCTCTGCTGGATGCCTACCTCATTGAGCCATCCAACCAATCTATTATGCTGGAGAAGTACTTTCCTTACAGCTTCATGTCGCCAATTACTTCTAAATCCTGTACCCTAGCTATCCCAATGCTTAGTTGTGTTTGAGATTTCATTGTAGTATAGATAATGGGAACAAATTCAGTCACTTGAGTTACATTCTTGTTGTGTTTTTTAGATGCTAGAACGGGTGATGACACCAACCGGACCTCCATTTCAGAAGAAGTTTTAGCTTATCTCCGCAGTCCTTGGTTGACTAAATTTGCACCTTTGGTTTATATGGTTGTGTTCCTCATATCGCTGCCTTTGAACATAACAGCAATCGTAGTTACGCTTTAAGATCAATAACAGTAGAGAGGTCAATGGTGGTCCCATCACCCTCTGCTATAGAGCCATATGATCCGTAGTTAAAATGTGCCCTAATGGAAGTTCTGCCAAAATCTGATGGTAGTCCAACTGGCCAGCCCAATTTTCAACTCTGCTGGATGCCCACCTCAATGAGCCATCCAACCAAAGGGTAGCCATTCTTCTATGCTGGAGAAGTACTTTCCTTACAACCTCATGTCGCCACTTATCTCTATATCCTGTACCCTAGCTATCCCAATGCTTAGTTGTGTTTGAGATTTCATTGTAGTATAGATAATGGGACCAAATTCAGTCACTTCAGTTAAATTCTTGTTGTGTTTTTTAGATGCTAGAACTGGAGATGAGACCAACCGGACCTCCATTTCAGAAGATGTTTTAGCTTATCTCCGCATTCCTTGGTTGACTAAATTTGCACCTTTGGTTTATACGGTTGTGTTCCTCATATCGCTGCCTTTGAACATAACAGCAATTGTAGTTATTTTTGTTGTTGCTTTAAGATCAATAACAGTAGAGAGGTCAATGGTGGTCCCATCACCCCCTACACCCTCTGCTAGAGCCATATGATCCATAATTAAAATGTGCCCTAATGGAAGTTCTGCCAAAATCTGATGGTAGTCCAAGTGACCAGCCCAATTTTCAGCTCTGCTGGGATGCCCACCTCAATGAGCCATCCAACCAAAGGGTAGCCAATCTACTATGCTGGAGAAGTACTTTCCTTACAGCCTCATGTCGCCCTTACCTCTAAATCCTGTACCCTAGCTATCCCAATGCTTTTGTCGTGTTTGAGATTTCATTGTAGTATAGATAATGGGAACAAATTCAGTCACTTGAGTTACATTTTTTTGTTGTTTTTTTTAGATGCTATAACGGGTGATGACACCAACCGGACCTCCATTTCAGAAGAAGTTTTAGCTTGTCTCCGCAGTCCTTGGTTGACTAAATTTGCACATCTTCGGTTTATACGGTTGTGTTCCTCATATTGCTGCCTTTGAACATAACAGCAATCGTAGTTACGCTTTAAGATCAATAACAGTAGAGAGCTCAATGGTGGTCCCATCACCCTCTGCTATAGAGCCGTATGATCCATAGTTAAAATGTGCCCTAATGGAAGTTCTGCCAAAATCTGATGGTAATCCAAGTGGCCAGACCAATTTTCAACTCTGCTGGGTGCCCACCTCAATGAGCCATCCAACCAAAGGGTAGCCAATCTACTATGCTGGAGAAGAACTTTCCTTACAGCATCATGTCGCCACTTACCTCTAAATCCTGTACCCTAGCTATCCCAATGCTTAGTTGTGTTTGAGATTTCATTGTAGTATAGATAATGGGAACAAATTCAGTCAGTTGAGTTACATTTTTGTTGTTTTTTTTTAAGATGCTAGAACGGGTGATGACACCAACCGGACCTCCATTTCAGAAGAAGTTTTAGCTTATCTCCGCAGTCCTTGGTTGACTAAATTTGCACCTTTGGTTTATACGGCTGTGTTCTTCATATCGCTGCCTTTGAACATAACAGCAATCGGTTTATACGATTGTGTTCCTCTCATATCGCTGCCTTTGAACATAACAGCAACCGGTTTATATGGTTGTCTTCCTCATATCGCTGACTTTGAAAATAACAGCAATCGTAGTTACGCTTTAAGATCAATGACAGTAGAGAGGTCAATGGTGGTCCCATCACCCTCTGCTATAGAGCCATATGATCCATAATTAAAATGTGCCCTAATGGAAGTTCTGCCAAAATCTGATGGTAGTCCAAGTGGCCAGCCCAATTTTCAACTCTGCTGGATGCCCACCTCAATGAGCCATCCAACCAATCTACTATGCTGGAGAAGTACTTTCCTTACAGCCTCATGTCGCCACTTACTTCTAAATCCTGTACCCTAGCTATCCCAATGCTTTGTCGTGTTTGAGATTTCATTGTAGTATAGATAATGGGAACAAATTCAGTCACTTGAGTTACATTTTTGTTGTTTTTTTTTAGATGCTATAACGGGTGATGACACCAACCGGACCTCCATTTCAGAAGAAGTTTTAGCTTGTCTCCGCAGTCCTTGGTTGACTAAATTTGCACCTTCGGTTTATACGGTTGTGTTCCTCATATCGCTGCCTTTGAACATAACAGCAATCGTAGTTACGCTTTAAGATCAATAACAGTAGAGAGCTCAATGGGTGGTCCCATCACCCTCTGCTATAGAGCCATATGATCCGTAGTTAAAATGTGCCCTAATGGAAGTTCTGCCAAAATCTGATGGTAATCCAAGTGGCCAGACCAATTTTCAACTCTGCTGGATGCCCACCTCAATGAGCCATCCAACCAAAGGGTAGCCAATCTACTATGCTGGAGAAGAACTTTCCTTACAGCATCATGTCGCCACTTACCTCTAAATCCTGTACCCTAGCTATCCCAATGCTTAGTTGTGTTTGAGATTTCATTGTAGTATAGATAATGGGAACAAATTCAGTCAGTTGAGTTACATTTTTGTTGTTTATTTAAGATGCTAGAACGGGTGATGACACCAACCGGACCTCCATTTCAGAAGAAGTTTTAGCTTATCTCCGCAGTCCTTGGTTGACTAAATTTGCACCTTTGGTTTATACGGTTGTGTTCTTCATATCGCTGCCTTTGAACATAACAGCAATCGGTTTATACAATTGTGTTCCTCATATCGCTGCCTTTGAACATAACAGCAACCGGTTTATATGGTTGTCTTCCTCATATTGCTGACTTTGAAAATAACAGCAATCGTAGTTACGCTTTAAGATCAATGACAGTAGAGAGGTCAATGGTGGTCCCATCACCCTCTGCTATAGAGCCGTATGATCCGTAGTTAAAATGTGCCCTAATGGAAGTTCTGCCAAAATCTGATGGTAGTCCAAGTGGCCAGCCCAATTTTCAACTCTGCTGGATGCCCACCTCAATGAGCCATCCAACCAAAGGGTAGCCATTCTACTATGTTGGAGGAGTACTTTCCTTACAGCCTCATGTTGCCACTTATCTCTAAATCCTGTACCCTAGCTATCCCAATGCTTTGTTGTGTTTGAGATTTCATTGTAGTATAGATAATGGGACCGAATTCAGTAACTTCAGTTAAATTCTTGTTGTTTTTTTTTAGATGCTAGAATGGGTGATGAAACCAATCGGACCTCCATTTCAGAAGATGTTTTAGCTTATCTCCGCAGTCCTTGGTTGACTAAATTTGCACCTGCGGTTTATACGGTTGTGTTCCTCATATCGCTGCCTTTGAACTTAACAGCAATCATGATATTCCTGTGCAAAATTCAAGTGAAGACACCGGCTGTGGTATTCATGCTGAACTTGGCTGTTGCCGACATCCTCTTAGTTGTCTTGATGCCTTTTGAAATCATTTACCGATCCTCAGGAAACCATTGGGTGATGGGAGAAGGAATGTGCCGCTTTGTGACTGTTGTATCTTTCTGCAACATGAACTGCTCCATCCTGCTGATGACCAGTATCAGCGTGGACCGCTTCCTGAGCGTGGTCTATCCTATGCAATCTCTCTTATGGCGCACCGTGAGCAGAGCCTGGTACGTTTGTCTTTTCATCTGGATGGTTTCCATCGCCAGCGCTGTGCCGCTTCTTATAAGCCAACTAACTGTTCGCATCGACCAACTGAACATCACAGTTTGCTATGATACGACGGCACATAAAGGCTTTGAGACCATTTACTTTCATTATTTCACTGCTTATATTTCAATTTTCTTTTTGTTGCCTTTTATTGTTACAATTTTCTGTTACGCCGGAACCATCCGAAGTCTGAGCTCACCAAAAATCGAAAGCACCTTTAAAAAGTCCCGATCCGTGTGCCTTTGTATCACAGTGCTTTTTGAATTTATTATTTGCTTTGGCCCGACCAACACCTTTTTTTTGCTTAATTATCTGAACATCAATAAGCCTTTTGGAGACTCTATGTATTTTGCCTATATCATGTCTTTCACTATTAGTAGCATTAGCTGTTGTCTGGACCCTGTTATCTATTATTGCGGGTCCTCAAAGTTTGTGAAGTACATATACAGCTTGGTGTGTTGTGGCAAAACTGAAGCTGACCATAAACAGAAAGACAGACGTCTGCCCGTATTCTATAGAGCCGGGATCTGATGTCATTACTTTTACGGTACATCTTGCCCAACAGGCAGAAGAGGGCAAACACTGGGATCTTGCTTTTCATGGTCCGTCCAAAGAATGATCCCGGTACTCTACTATAGGGATAAGAAAATTTAATATCCAATTAATGGCAAATAAATGAGAAAAACTTTTGCTATTTCAGCAATGATGGTGGGCTCCCATCAACTGCATGGGAAATGAAGGCGGTGGAGGCTGGAACGGGTTTTAAATGGCCATCCTGGACCTGTTCTTGTGGTTCCTCATTAGCTGAGAAATGGAAATGGATTTAAAAAGTAAAGTATTTCATTCTATATGCACATGGAGTGCACTTTTAACCACTTGCTGTCCGGCCACTGTATATAAACGGCCGGACGGTGGCTGTCCAGGGGCGGGTTGCCTTTCATAAATGGCGCCTGCCATTATGGACTGTGCGCGCTCTCTGGGAGCGCGCAGCACCACTGTCCGGTGCCCACTGTGTCCTCTGGACACAATGGAACACCGATCATCGTACGGGACCTCTGTGCGAGGTCCCGATCATGTGATCACTGATTGGCCAATCAGTGACCACATGCAGAGTAGTAAGCAAGATGTCGCTTCTGACATCATTGCTTACTACGTGTGAAATCTGTGATTGATCACAGAGGTCACATGGTACAGGGCTATTCACAACAGCCTTGTACCATGTGACAAGTTGTGACCAATCACAGCTCACACAGTAGTTCTCAATGACTGCAAGAATGCAGCCAGAGAGGAGAAATTATTGACTTTACAGCCTTTATGGGTGTAAAAGCAATCAGTAAAAAAAAAAAAAAAAAAAAAAAAAACCTTCATCAACCCCAACAAGTAGTACAGTGTCACCATGGTGACACTGTACTGCTAGGGTGACAGTATGTAAGTATGTAGAAAAAAAAAACCCATAAATAATATAAAAATATAAAATAAAAATATAAAAAATACATTTAAAAATTATAATTTTTGGTTGTAAACTAATTTGGGTTATTTTTTTTTTACGAAAAAGATAACTGAATTTATTTTGGCCAAGATTTCTGATGAAATATTATTTATTTGAAAAATTTGATAAGAAAAAAAACGCTTTTTTCAAAATTTATGGACTTTTTCATTTATATAGCAAAAAAAAAAAAAATTCCAGTGGTGAATAAATACCACCAAAATTAAGCTTTATCTGTCTCAAAAAAATGCTACAAAAAATCATATGGGTACAGTGTTGCATGACCGCGCAATTGTCATTCAAAGTGTGATAGCACTGAAAGCTGAAAATTGGCCTGGACAGGAAGGGGGTGAAAGTGTCCGGACTGGAAGGGGGTGAAAGTGTCCGGACTGGAAGGGGTGAAAGTGTCCGGACTGGAAGGGGGGGGAAGTGTCCGGACTGGAAGGGGGGGGGAAGTGTCCGGACTGGAAGGGGGTGAAAGTGTCCGGATTGGAAGGGGGGAAAGTGTCCGGACTGGAAGGGGGGGGGGAAGTGTCCGGACTGGAAGGGGGGGGGAAGTGTCCGGACTGGAAGGGGGTGAAAGTGTCCGGATTGGAAGGGGTGAAAGTGTCCGGACTGGGAGGGGGGGAAAGTGTCCAGACTGGAAGGGGGGGAAAGTGTCCGGACTGGAAGGGGGGGAAAGTGTCCGGACTGGAAGGGGGTGAAAGTGTCCAGACTGGAAGGGGGGAAAGTGTCCGGACTGGAAGGGGGGGGAAAGTGTCCAGACTGGAAGTGGTTAAAAGAAATATACTGATAGCTGTCGTTGACATGCCTTTGTTTATTAACAAAGCCATGTGATTATCATGTTATTATACAGGATTTATATGGCGCCAACAGTTTTCTCAGCTCTTTACAATAAAAAGGGAGACAATACAGCAATGTCAACTTTTTCAAGATAATTTTGCCTTAATTGCAATAGGAAGCTAATTTTGTTACATTTTTGCTGACGTTTTCAGAGGTCATTTCTCTGTTCAATAGGTCGGTGCAGGATGATCACTAATGTAGAATACAATTAGCTGGCTCATGTGTCAGAAACCTATTTGCTGGCTAGTTGGATAGGAAGCACCACTGTTTTTTTAATACAGCTGTATCTATTTGAAAAATGTTGCAGTATATTGAGACATATCAGAAAATCGATCATGCAGAGGTGTAAAGTTACCAAACCCCGATGATTTTTCTTAATAAATTGCTGTGGCTGAATAAAGTTGCTCATTATATGGAATAAAGATTTCCACTGCCTCACAAGTAAGCTGGGGGGGGGGGGCATCAATGAAAGATAGGAACATTGACCAAAGAAATGGGCTGCCATTCCTTTAAATCAAATCTTGAAACAGCAGTTAACCTCCCTGGCGGTCTGATTATTTCAGATTTTTTGTGCTCAAAGCAGTACATTTTTTTGCATGGAAATATGTAGTTTTTTATTGTAGGTCTGTAATTTTTAGGAATAACTCACTGAAATCTGTCCGAACAAGAGTCTAGTAAACATCCCGGGTAGGATAAAATTTGAAACACGAAATCATAAATTATAATTTAATAAATAATCATAAAAAATAATAATATAATAATAATAAATGTAATTCAATAATATAATCAAACCAAAAACACTGAAATGTGAAATATAGCGCCAAGTTCGCACATCGCTGAGCAAAGTCGCAGAATCGTTTTCAGTGTCTGATGAGGAATTTCCCCCACGAATCATTATCACTCAATTCTGCAAGTGGTTCTGATTTACTATCGCTGTTCTCTAGCTGGTCTAAAACCACGTCTGACCTAAAGGGACGCTTTTTGGACGCCATGGACGTTTCTCAGTTTCCAGGCAGAAAGAACAGTCAAAATGCAGGCAGGGCGCCGGACAAAGCACTCGGGACAATATGTATGTGAAATGCATTGAAACAGCAATGTTTTACTAAGTTATAATCATTTTTAAAAAAAGTGACATTTTTTAAAAATTTCAAATTTGCCGCCGGTTCCGGCGCCCGTACGTCCCGACGAACACGGAAGCCGGATGCCGGCATCGGCTGGAGGAGATGGCCGGGGACGCTGCAAGGGACACATCGTGGGAGCGAAGGACAAGGTAAGTGCTGCAGGGACGCCCTGAGCAACACCGCATGGTAAGCCCGAGTGTAGCTCGGGGGGGTTACCGCTCTTGGTACTCAAATTTTACCCCGAGCTACACTCGGGAATACCACTAAGGAGGTTAAACTGGGTACACACTGGGAGGTTTTCTTCATGCAATACAGCCGACTGAACTAAAAAAAAAAAAATTAACTAGGCAATGTAAGTGCGGCGATCTCCCCAACTGACAAGGGGCTGCCCCCTGCCAACACACAGATGAGCACTCACAGCCATGTGGGAATAAGGCACTGTCAGGCCTTATTCCCACAAGAAGGACCTCTATGGACTGATAATGTGAGAGCTGCACCCTGCTGCTTGTTTCTATTGCTGGAAGGGCGTTTTTCTATGTATGGTTACATGGGGGTGCAATGGTGGCAAGGAACATCCAAGATGAAAAAATAATAATAATGATGACCCAGCATTCAATAAGCCTTTTGCTTATTCAGCCGTGGTGCCCTCTTTCCAGTGGACCCACCATCAGGGGCGGACTGACCATTTGGAAACTCGGGCACTGCCCGAGGGCCCGGGGTCAGTAGGGGGCCCCATGAGATGCCCATGGTACCTTTTTCATAGCCTTTTATGAGTTTGGGCAAGGACACAGGGGCCCCATGATCCCCTATTGCCCGGGGGCCCCATGAGTTGTCAGTCCGCCCCTGCCCACCATAGAACACCGGAGAGATTCCTTTCCTTCCTGGGATTTGGATGCTGGGTCATCATTATATATTATTATTTTCATCTTGGGTGTTCCTTGCCACAGTTGCACCCCCATATCATCTGTAACAATCTTGATGATAACGCAGCCTTGTGGTTGCCCTTTGGTGACTGTGGAGGGACCCCTTCAGAAGATAAACGGAGCAGAGGCTGTGTTTCTTCACACATTTCTTTCTCCTTCCACTTTTGCCGTGTGGGGATCATGGAATTACTGGCTACATCCATTTAATAGTTTTAACCAATTGGCGGATTGTTGTATACTCTCCGCCCCTGTATGGGGCTATGCGTCATGTTTTTTGAGCACTTCTGAAGAAGAGATCGTGATTGGTCTCGAAACGCGTCAAGTACAAATACACGCATGACTGATCTTCATCTAATTATTGTAAAATCACGTCTGGTGTACCGTCACAATGTGTAACTATATGTCTTTTTTCTAAGATTGTATAAATAAAATATGGTTCTCTTTTCACTGTAATTTGTTAGAACATTCTTTCTTTTTTTCTTCTAATGTGTGCCTTAAAAGTCCCACCAACAAGTGGGTTTCTCCAGTGTAGGGAGTGTTGGATGGTGGAGGGGTCTGTGTCAGTGACATGGGAGGTGTTGGAGGTCTGAGGGGTCTATGTCAGTGACATAGGAGGTGTTGGATGGTGGAGGGGTCTGTGTCAGTGACATGGGAGGTGTTGGATGGTGGAGGGGTCTGTGTCAGTGACATGGGAGGTGTTGGATGGTGGAGGGGTCTGTGTCAGTGACATGGGAGGTGTTGGATGGTGGAGGGGTCTGTGTCAGTGACATGGGAGGTGTTGGATGGTGGAGGGGTCTGTGTCAGTGACATAGGAGGTGTTGGAAGGTGGAGGGGTCTGTGTCAGTGACATGGGAGGTGTTGGAGGGTGGAGGGGTCTGTGTCAGTGACATGGGAGGTGTTGGAGGGGTGGGGGGTCTGTGTCAGTGACATGGGAGGTATTGGAGGGTGGAGGGGTCTGTGTCAGTGACATGGGAGGTATTGGATGGTGGAGGGGTCTGTGTCAGTGACATATGAGGTGTTGGAGAGTTGAGGGGTCTGTGTCAGTGACATGGGAGGTATTGGAGGGTGGAGGGGTCTGTGTCAGTGACATGGGAGGTGTTGGAGGGTGGAGGGGTCTGTGTCAGTGAAATGGGAGGTGTTGGAGGGTGGGGGGGTCTG